TTGTGATGATATTCTGAGCGAATATCTGTTAGGAAGTATTTGTGCTTCTTGCATTTTTTTTGAGGTTCTGAGGCGATCCTTTGTGGTTCGAGTGGATCGATTGCTATATTTTGTGAGAGATAAGTGTTCTATATCTTTTCTTTGTGATTGCCTGAATATTATTGTAATCTTTGTTGCCATTTTGGGCATTATAGTGGAACCAAGCATAATCCAACTTTTGGATGTCCAACGGAGAATGTAGGTGTTAGATGTGGTCACCGAACCTCCAGGACTTAGGCCGAAAAATATCAATTGTGTTCTTTTAATTTTCTTGTTTCTAGATCTAATATCGTGTATTCCTGGCCTAACACATGGTTTCTTTTCTTTCTAGATTGAGAACAAAGAGTGTCAAACTCATTGGTTTGAAGGCCCGCCATGGATGAATTTATGGCTTTATCGTGTGTGGAATTTTTGAAGGAAAGGACTGAGTAAGATAGAGGGAATTAGAGTGAATGAATCTGAAATTAGTTTTTAGGGTTAATATAGAGAGTAAGGTGCGGGATGTTGTAATTAGAGTATACTAAGGAATTAATTAATGCTGTTAAGCGAGTTTTTACAAGTAAATAAGAGCAATCCTAAGTTGATCAGAATCCTAGCAAAATCGAATCATGTTCCTATTTATGAACTGCTTGCTTGAGTTTTTTGGACACGTGTTAATTACCGCTTTTATTTGGGACCTTAATATATCTTTTCTTTGCAACTCAATCATATTGCTCAAACCGGAAATCTAGATTTAGGCACTTTATCACCATGGTAAATTTTCAATACAATTTTTTTACACTTGAATAAGTTCAAAAATATTGCATAGGGTATGTTACTACAAAATTTGCCGCCCTCTCTTTGGTATAGATTAAAATTTGATTTTAATCTTACCTCAAAAATCAACAATTAATTTTAATCAAACAGTTTATGAAATTCACAAATTTTCAACCATAAATTTTATACACTTTCATTAAAATTTAATAAAATTCAGATTAAATTTAAACCAAACACGGCGTAAATGTATAAACTCATAACCATGAGATTGGATGAACACGTAATAACATGTCTCCACACACTAGGGAGGTAGAAAACATTTCAAAGTTCAT